GGAATAAAATATAGAACTCTTATTTTCATACTTTCTCTATATTTTACTCTTACTTTGAATGGTTTTTTATGATCAAATGACTTACACCCCCGATCCCTCCGTCCCTAAATCGATTAAAATCTTCTCCTAACTTTTTCTTATTTGTAGAATTGTATCTTTTCGTTGATTATTTGATAAAAGAAAATATTCTGGTCACCTCTTTTTTTTTAGAATTTTGACGTAGTTTTTTAATACGGAGTATATACTAGTCCCTCCGTTCTAATAAAAGCTTCCTAGTTTGACTTGGAGCCAAAATAAGGAAGTGTTAAATTATAGTTGACTTCTAATTTTGTCCCTGATGTGATGGGTAAAAATAAGATGCGATAGATAGATTATTAGAGAAAAAGTATGATGTGATAGGTGGGGTATGAAAAAGTAAGAGTAATAGTAGTTTTTTAATAGAAAGTGGAAGTGTTTTGTTGGAGGTGGAAAAAATGAAAGATGAAGTGTTTTTGAGAACGGAAGGAGTAATTTTTACTCCGTATTTTTTATTGATATACCAATTTGTAAATAAAATAATTTCAAAAGCTAGGGAATTTTGCCTCGTAAGTCCCAGTTTGTAATCTAAAGGAAAAAGAATTAAACTATGATTAAAGTAGAAAATGTATCAAAATAGTAGTTCCATGTTTTTATTCCCAAAATTTAAGTTACTGACAGTTACAATGTGAATACAATGTTAATCATGTCAATATATAATGCCAAAATGTATCGTTAAATGTCTATGTGCAGTATCACATTATCACAATGCAAACTCTTATTTTAGATATAAAAACACAGAACTCATATATATATTGGTTTAATCAAGTTAGGAGCGGAGGGAATATTTATTATTTAAGTCATTTTAATTCTATAAAAAAACTATTTTTCTTGGTTCTAGGCCGAATGGTCGAGCTCGGATTTCACATTTTCACTCTTGATGACTCATCTCACGAACTTATTATCTATAAAAAAAAATTTGCTGGACTTTATAGTACATAATTCCATATGATCTGTCATTTATGCTCTCATTAGCAACAAGTGTTGGATAATGACTTATTATTATACGAATGAGATCAGGAACAAGTGTTGGATAATGACTGATTATTTCAATGACTATTCAAATCATTTTTAATAATGTCTTATTTCACTCAAATTGTGTAATTGGTCATTTTTTCAAAGGTATGACATTTTATAACTTTCCATTATCAAACGTTAGAGTATATATATAAGACTGGTCCTATTTAGAAAAAAGTGATAAGTTTAAATTTCATTTGCGTAAATTTCCCACTATCTATCTCTAAATACCGATTTATCGAAGGACTCCATGAGTAATTATCTTTTAATTTGATTTTTTTGGTCAATAGTTTTAAATTTTGATCATAATATGAAATAAAATATACATGGAGCATATTTTAAAAGTGTATATATACTGCATATTACCTTAACAAAATGGATCGAAATTGACATATTATTAATTTTTGTAGAAAAATTGTTTATATGCTCAAAATAAAAAAAATAGTTTATACGGAGTGCAATTTAATGGTTAAGAGTGAAATTTCGTCTCTTTTTCGCCGTGGGGACCCTAAAATGAAACTATTCCATTCCCGTCCTTGTCCTTCCATTCCAATTCCCTTTTATGTAAAGCTGCAACAAAATTTCAGTTAATTCTCACAGTAATATGCCAGGAAAAATGTTAAAAACATTCTGGATGGGGTGGTACTATATATATATATATATATATATAAATATATTGTGTATATATACGTACCCTAGCTAATGTAGTCTTAGCCTTTTGCGAACCGGTATTGTATATATGAAATGTATGGTCTCCGCGCTCCATGTATTTACGTACGTTAAGACGATGACGACATATAGGGTGTGGAAGCCCGTGTTGGAGAAGGGGAGCACGTGCATATATATGATTCGTGATCAATAAACGACCGACCAGCACATGAAAACAAACGTGCATGCACGTGCCCTGCTTCTCCAACGAGAGCTGCCCGCCCGCCCATTGCTGCTAATTACTATAGCCCAATGTGTGTCAATCCTTATTTAATTGGAAGGATAAATTGAGAAGGAAAAAAAGAGAAGAAAGAATGGAATGATGTGTGGAGAAGTGGTGCATGTGAAGTGGGGGGGTGTGCATTTATATATATAGTGGAGAAGTGGGGAGATGGAAATGATGGAGGAATAGATGGAAACGTGAGAAGGGGGACAAGATGAGTTAAAGCTTGGAGTCTTGGAGTGGGCAATCTTATACTACTAGCTAGCTACCTTTAATTTCAAACTAAACATGCATGATGTGTATTTTTAGTCCAAAATCCATTATTATTATTATTTTATTAGTATTATTATTGTTGTTGTTGTTATTATTATTGTTGTTGTTGTTATTGTCATTATTATTATTATTTTATTAGTATTATTGTTGTTGTTGTTGTTATTATTGTTGTTGTTGTTATTGTCATTATTATTGTTGTTGTTGTTGTTGTTATTGTTATTATTATTATTACTATTACTATTATTATTATTACTATTATTATTATTATTACTATTATTATTATTATTATTATTATTGTTGTTGTTGTTGTTGTTATTGTCATTATTATTATTATTATTATTATTATTATTATTATTATTATTAGCCCCGCCCTATCATTTTATTGCACGTACGTACTGTGTTTAATTTGTTGTGACCCAAGAATCTTATGCTTATTAGTACAATATTATTCAAAGCTTGATGAGGTCAGATGAGCAAACCTTGATAAGCATCCAATAGATTATACTATAACTACTCACTTTATTTCCTTGTTGATTGGTTTTCTCCATCATTGTGTCAATTTGACCTTTTCTTTTTTCTTACTTTACTATTCCCTCCATTTCTTTGAATACTTCTTTTTTCATTTTTTTTCTCTTTCTTCCAAATATTTCCACTTTTTATTTAAAAAATAACTTTTATCCATATTTTTTCTTACCTTATATGTCGCATCATATTTTTCACTAATAATGTGCCTATCACATCTTTCTTTTGCTCATTTCATCGAGGATAAAATTGGAAAATCAATCATAAATATATTATCTTTATTTCTTCTATGAGTCAAACTAGTACTCCCTCCGTCCCTTAAAAACTTCTCATTTTGACTTTTAAAGGATTTAAGAGAAGTGTATTTTGGTGTTAACTTTCCAAAAAAACCATTTGATGTGATAGATAAAGTAGGATGTGATGAATAAGTTAATAGAGAAAAGGTGTGATATAATAGGTAGGTTAAGAATTAATAGGGGTAAAAGTGACTTTTTAATAGAAAAGAGAAAGATTTTTTGGGACGAATGAAAAAAGAAAAAAGAAGGGTTTTGTGGGACGGAGGGAGTAATGTTAGAGTCACAAACAACTTAGACACAAACTACATAAACTTACTAATTGTGCACTTTCCCAAGTAAATAAAATGGTTTTAAATAATTTTTTAAAAAATATTTAAATACACAAATAGAAAATTTATGAAGCTTGTGTCAAATTATTTATGACTCTAGCATTTCTCATTCACAAGTACAATCCCCCACCTATGTTTGATATGAAGATCAACATGCATTTAATCTATCTTAACGGATATTTATTATTTATTATAGGACTTGAAGTGATATAATAGCTGACTAATTGTGTGTATTTGACTCTAAAATTTGACTCCAAAGTCAAAATCAACTTATGAGGTGCAATTGAAGGGATGGAGGGTGTGTTCGGGTCAGAACGGGGGTGGGGGGATTTACCTGGGGGTAGAAACCGTCAATTATACGAACGGGGCACTAAAGCGTTCCCAAGTCATCCCATGACATTGTCGGGCAATATTATGGGAACCTTGCCCTTTAAAAATATGAGGAATCAGAATGACGTATGAGAGAACATTAGAGTATAGTTTCCAACTACAGAGAGTAAATGAGTGTAAGGAAAAAATAGTCCTTAATTAGAGTAATTTCAGTAGTTGTAAGGCAAGGAAAAAAATACTCCCTAGTTGTCAAAAAAATAGTTGCAAGGAAGAAAAAAAATTCACTTCTCCATTAATGGATGCCATTAACACACGCCAACCCTTTAAATGCACATGCAAGCTAGGGGGAAGCCTTCCCATGATGTCTTTAGCTTAGTACACAAATTTTCCAACACACACGCACTCGATCATGAATGACACACACACACACAAACACTATAATAATTACAAGGGCATGCATTATATTTTCTCCCTACATTTGACCAAATTGGCGATCAATCATATGGTTGTGCAGCTTTGCCACCATCCCGGAATCATTTGAACTCATAACTCTATGGCTCTCCCTTAATTTGGTTGAGATGTTCACATGACACATGTTTGGCTTAAGACCATGTGTTATTATTGGCTTGATGGGGGGTTTGTCCTTTTTTTATTTTCTTTGTTTTGTACACAACATTTTCATTTTAAAATTAAGATTACAAAAATTATAGAATCCAAATTTTACAAAATCATGTTGTGCAGAATATGCAAGCGTACATAGCATCTCTAATTTTGTTCTTTTTTCACATACCACATCAATTATGTACGATGTGCCATTTTCGTTTAAGAACAACAAATGCTCTTTCAATGTCCTTTCTTGTAGCTAGCCTCTTGTGCCTTTTTGAACACTACTTAAAAGTGATGGAAACATTCTGTCGCCAAACTCAATTTTCTGTTTCTAGTTGGCCTTGGGGACGGAATCAACGATGTATCGCGTTCCGCCATTTATTTTTTGTTACTATTCCGTATGACGACAAATTCTTTTTTATTCTATCATTAGATATCAACAAATATGGCGACAGTCATTGCGACACAATCGACGACCGAACTTTTCTATCACTTAATAATGACGGAAACGCCTACGGTTTGTCATTTCTACGCAGCTGACGACAGAACTTGATTCCTTTGCAATTTCTGTAACTGAATATGTAGAAATAAAATAATAGATCTGATTTTTAGCGAAATTCACACAAAATCTAATTTATATTGTTAGGGGTGTAACTTAAGTCACAAGACACTACAAATTCACAGAAAATAACAAGAATCAATTCATATAAACACTAACTCATTAAAAATATAATCTTGCATAGTACAAATGACTAACCAATTCAAAACGTTCAATCACATAAATATAGTAAAATATCAACCAAAGAGAAAAATGTGATAATATTATCAGAATTTTTTTAACATGCTCCTGCAGCTCCTGCTCCTCTGGCACCACCATCGCCAGCATGTCCACTTATTTTCCTCAAATGTATTGGAAGTCCTTCTGAGGAATCAAATAAAACAAATAGATGGAGGTAATATAGAGTTTAAGCATGCAAATTAAAGTAATTATTTACCACAATGAGCTTGATACATCCAAGACAAGCTAATTAAAATGATTATTTACCATAACATACCACTTGCAGACCTTCATTATGTGGCCTCAATCCTTTGCCCGTGAACCGCGGTTGCCATTGCAACGCAGTTGCACTATATACACCATACCAGCACACTTAACGAGATTGAAGTTAAAAATAATCAAACCATTAAAATACCTAATAATGTATCACATATTAAGAAATCCTCAAACTTATTGCTTATAAAGGTCTTTCGGTCGTACTTCATGTTGAATTATGGAATAATGAATTTACTCAAGGAATAATAGTGTGTACAAGAGTGTATATATACGGGTAGATCCTGACATATTTAAGAATCTACATAATATGAAACTGACTATTATACAAATACTACTATAATTAGGATTACTATTATTATTGTCTAGCATCCTCCTCGAGCTAAACACCGTGAAACGCTTGGAAAAAAGAGCTTTGAAACATGGTGCAGACAAGGCCTTGGTGAGAAAGTCAGCAAGCTGATCAATGGAAGGAACATAAGAGACAGTCATTGCTTCAGCAATTACTTGTTCATAGACAAAGTGACAATCAGTACCAACATGCTTCATACGTTTATGGAACACCGAATTCTTCGTTAGACAGATGGAGGACTGATTATCACAGAACAGGTGTGGTGGAGGTAGTAGTATCCGCAGGACGCCAAAAAGATAGGTGCTCCACATCACCTCCGATGTTGCCGCAGAGAGAGCACGATATTCTACCTTAGTGGATGAATTGGAGACTCGACTTTGCTTCCCCATACTCCAAGAGAAAAGATTAGGACCAAGATAAACCAAGTACCCATTGATAGAACGACCATCTGTGAGATCATTTGCCAAGTCAGAATTAGAGTAAGCATGCAACTTTAAAGCACCTCGGCGAAACACCAACCCTTGATTAAGCATTGCCTGAATGTACCGCAAAATTCTTTTCAAGGACTGAAAATCCTGCTCAGTCGAGCATGCATACGTTGGCAGACATGATTGACGACAAACTGAATATCAGGGCAAGTTTTGGTAAGATACTACAGAGTTCCAACCAGACTACGGAAGAAGGTGGGGTTTGAAAATGTCACATCCCCCCTCGTCGTTGGACCGAACCAGCATGGGAGTGGGTGAGGTTTGCAATCGTCCACTCCTGCCTGATGTAACAATTCTCTAGCATATTTCTCTTGAGAAAGTAGCAAGCCATCCCCCGTTCGTTTTACTTCTAGGCCATAAAAATAGTGAAGGGGACCAAGAGCTTTCACCTGAAACTCCTCCTAAAGGGACTGAATAAAGGTGTCGATCAGTCGAGAAGAGCTACCTGTAACAATAATGCCAGCAATATAGAGGAGAAGAATGAGAATGTCGTGAGAGGTATGCATAACAAAAAAGCTAGTATCATGCTGATTATCTCGGAATGCATAGTCGAGAAGAAAGATCGAAAGACGTTGGTACCATGCCCTAGGAGCCTGCTTGAGACCATGTAGGGACTTTTTCAAATGGCACACATAATGAGGGAACTACTAGTTAATATATCCCGAGGGTTGCTGCATATATATCTGCTCAGGAACCTGACCATGAAGAAAGGCATTAGACACATCTAGCTGATGGAGTGGCCAATAATGAGTGAGAGCTAGTGCAAAAATCACACTTATAGTTTGTTGTTTCAAATTAGGACTAAATGTTTCAGAATAGTCAAGTCCATACTCTTGAGTATATCCCTTAGCTACCAAGTGTCCTTTATACCTGGAAATTGAACCATCACCATTATGTTTAATTTTATAAACCCACTTATAACCAATTTGAACACAATCCCCAGGAGGTGGAACAAGTTCCCATGTGTTTTGATTTATCAAGGCTTCAAATTCTTCATCCATAGCCTGACACCAATAGCTATTTTTGGATTCCTCTTTGTATGTAACCGGCTCATTGATAGGAGGTCTAGAGGAAGGCATAGAAACAGCATACAGCTTGGGCTTAAAGATACCACTGTGGGCTCGGGTAGTCATGGGATGACGTGGTGGAGGTGGAGTTGGGGATGGGACAGGTGACGATTCGGGACTTGATGGAAGACTACCAAATTGAATAAGGTAGTGGGTGAACGAAGGCTGGGAAGTAGGTACAGGCTGCATAATTGGGATTTCGGGTCGGGATGGGAGGGGTGGGTTGGCTTCGGGTTGGGTGGTGAGGGGTTGGGCTGTTTCGGATGGTAGGATTGGGCTAGGCTGGAACCATGGGTCAAGCCGTGGAAAGCCCAGTGGACTGGGTGGGGCAGTGTGGTTATACGTGGGGCCGATGGTGCTTATTCGAGGGTTAGGGAACAAGGAAAGGACTCCAGAGAAATGTAATGGGGAAGATGACCCAGCGAGGAAGGAATATGGAAACCGGTTTTCCTGAAATTTGACATGACGCGACATATGAATGCGTTTGGTAGACAAATCATAGAAGTGATATCCCTTGGCTAATGAATCATAACCAAAAAACACACAGCGCTTGGATTTGGGCTGAAACTAATTTTCGATTTCATGGCGAAGACAAGGATAGGCTAGGCACCCAAAGACTCAAAGAATTGAATAATCAGGAGGAGTGTGATAGATAGCTTTATAAAGGGATATGTCGTGGAGGGACCATTTGGGCATTCAATTGATTAAAAAAATTGTTGCAACTAAAGCTTCGACCCAAAAGGTGATAAGAAAGGATGTCTTACACAGTAGGGCGGCGACGATTGTTTCAATAGGATGTCGGTGTTTGCGTTCTGCAACACCATTTATGTTAAAGAGTATAAGGGCAAGAATTTTGATGGAGGACCCCAAATTCTTGTAAAAATGATCCGAACTTGTGATTAACATATTCAAGCCCATTATCTGTGGGGAAAATTTTGATTTGTGTTTGAAATTGATTTTGAACCATGTTTTGAAAACTCTTAAAGGCATCATATGCTTCATATTTATGTAGAAGAGGATACAACCAGCAAAACTTGGTAAAATCATCAATGAAATTAATGTAAAAAAGATATCCCCCAAACAAGGTATCAAAAGTAGGTTCTCATACATCAGAATGGACTAATTCAAAGGGGAAGTAGTAGTAGTTTGAGATCAGGGAAAAGGGAGTTTGTGTGACTTAGCAACAGAACAAGAATCACAATGTTTGAGCTCAGAATATAAAACCTAACTTAGACAACAAAGACTTAGTCACTTGAATAGATGGATGACCAAGACGGTAATGTAACTAATACGGAGTACTCTTGACAGCATTGATCACCACATAAGGAATTGACGATGGAATTGAGTGCAGACCATGCTCACAGGGACCCTTGAAAAGCACTTGATTGGTTGTGTTGTCCTGAATTATAAAATCCTTAGAGGTAAAAAAAAGATTACAGTTATTATCTTGGGTAAATTGATGGATAGATAAAAGGTGTGTTTTAAGGGATGGGGCATGAAGCAGATTATGTAGGTAAAAAATAATGGTGGGTGTGGTGAGATTACCTGAGCCGATATGGATGATGAGAAAAGTGTTACCTCTCGTAGTGGTAATAGAATTAGTGCCTTGATATGGAGAGGAATATTGGAGCCATGACAAATCAGAAGTCATATGAGCGCTTGCACTAGTGCCCAGGTGCCACTTGTGACTTGGTTGAGAGTAATGTTCAGAGTAGTATGCTTATGGGGGGGTAGAATAAGATTCATCATAACTGTGCCAGCAGTTTGAGATAGCATGCCCGGGTTTTCCACAAAGTTGGCATGTCACTAAATTGGACTGCGTGCTACCACGACTCTGGCTGTCTGGTCCTCTTGTAGGGAACGGTCGACCGCCAGTGTCACTGTTGTAGTACAGTCAACCGTCACTAGGCTGCTGTCCCCCAGGACCGCCGAATTGGATGCCACGGCCCCTGGTCCGATACCCACTGCCACTGCGGCCTCATCCGCAACCTCCTCCACGTTTAGCATTGGTGTAATTTTTGTTCAAGTTGAACATTTAATTCTTTAGACAATAACCATGAAGAGACTTGATTGAAGGTCAAAGAGTCGATGTTTGTCCGGACATTTTGCTTGAGAGAGGCATATTCAGCAGGAAAGCCTCGTAACAAACACAAAATAATATCATGCTCCAACATAGTCTCATGAGCAGTTTTTGAGAGGTAACAAAATCAAGGGAATTATCAATGTATTTTTGCATTGAATAAGATCCATTACAGAGGCCATGTAGTCGCTCCTTTAGATAAAAGATGTGTGTTCTCGATAAAGAATCATACCTTTGCTGAAGATGAGTCTAGATTTCAGCAAAATACGAGATAGAGTGAATATGGGCTTGCACAGTATGAGAGACAACACCCAAAAGACACACCCGAATTTAGACATCTGCAATCATTCATGTTTCATAAGTCGGATTAGATTTTGTGACCAGAGGGGAATCCTTATCTGATGTCAGTGCTTTTTCATCGATGAAAAGGAGGGGGTGCAATCTCGATGACGTCAACATAAGAGAGGAGACGATGTGCAATAAGATTGGCTTGGACAGTAACTGACCATTATGGATAATTGGTATCATCCAATTTTTTCAGTGTGAGAGACTGGAGATTTCGAACAAACAGCTTCAATCCGGTGGGAAGACAATCCATAGGATCACCCGAAACAGGTGCCATGGAGGAGAAAGAGGGCGATGGTCGAAGAGAAGGCAACAGTGTTCTAGGGTTTGGCGGCGGTGCCTAGGGTTTTCGGCCATGCCGAAAAGATTTGTTGTTGTTGTTGTTATTTATCGTGAGAGGGAGAAGAGAGGAGATAGGATTTCATGCTCCAATACCATGTTGAATTATGAAATAATGAATTACTCAAGGAATAATGGTGTGTACAAGAGTGTATATATATGGGTAGATCTTGACATATTTAGGAATCTATATAATATGGAAACTGACTATTATACGAATGCTACTATAAATAGGATTACTATTATTATTGTCTAACAAGAGTGTGCGTGTGTAAGAATAGTACAAGTCTAATGCCTCCTCACTCTTTAAGTATACATCCAAAATTTTTAAAGATCATAAATGCCAAAGTACACATGCCATATCCAAAGATCATTTGAAGCGACTGCTTCGAGCATTAATGTTGGACTTGGGTGATCACCTTGTTGATGTGACCCTCTCTAAATCGTAGGGCACTTTTCCACACCGTGTCTGTATAAATATTAATTCTTATAGAAATAGATTAAAGAACGAATAAAATAATCAATGCTTATGAGCATCTCAGGAAAACCTTGCACATGCTCATGAACAGTATATATATATATATATATGCTGAATGTCGCTCCACGTTAGCTTTCGCAAATATCTACGAACGTATAGATTGATGATTCCTACTAATAAAAGTACTTGATATACATAATATATTAAACCAAATAAAAGTATGATATATTAACCTAAAAATGATGTACATACATTTGAATTAAAAAATTACATTTACAAAAATGATAGAGACTATCACGAGTAATTTTGTCTAACATCTTCAAATACACAAGGCCTCATTTAGAATGTGTTTTTTAGACTTCTAAGGCTTGTGTTTTTTGGTTTAAAAAAGTTAAATTTCAATATTTTTCTATTTTTTCTAGTTTTTTCAACATTTTCTAATTTTTTAACTCTTTCATGTTCTTAACCCTCTATAACTTCTTAACCTCTTTCATATTTTCTTCAAGTTAATAGGAAAAAGTATATTTTCCCACCTACGGCCCGCATTCACCCCATTTTTCATGTTTCACGGCTGCGGCATTTTTATGGACTACCCACTGGCCCGTCACACCCACTACCCACAGAATTTTTAGATGGACAGCCGCTCTCCCATCCGGTCCGTGTACATCAGAGATGTTTCGTTCTCCTGCAAGGTCGAATGGTAGAGCAGCTCTTGGTTGAATGGTCGGACGGGGGTCTTGATGATGCTACCTGGGAGCGCGGGGGTGATCCGGCGTTGTTTTCTAGCTTTGGACCTTGGGGACAAGGTCCCTATGCATCCGGGGAGGAATGATACGACCAGAGCTCCAGACGTGGTGGAGGATAGGGGTGGGCACGGATCGGGACGGTCCGGATTTTAGGTTGTTCTGGTCTTGTCCCGTTATATATAAACGGTCCGAAACGGTTCGGATTACAATCTTATCCTGGTTTGTCCCATAAAATTTGGGATCAGAACAAACCGGGATGGATTCGGGTCGTCCTACTTTGTCCTAATCCCAAATATAAGAGGGGGGTACTCAATCCAAAAGTCACAAAATGTCATAGATAAAAGTCATTAACTTCCTAAGACATCCAAAAACTAGTTGTGTTCATATACACCAAGCAATTAGCTACTGTCATTCAAAAAAACAAAAGCAGTAGGTAGTATTGAAGTTAACTTAATTAATTAAAGAATGAGTGTATAGAATTAGAATTATATATTAATAAAATAGATAAAACGGGACAAACGGGACGGATCGGTATAAATTTAAGTTGTCCCGCTCATGTCCCATTTGATAACGGGACGGAACGAGTTCGGGATAAAAAAGTTGTGTCCCAATTATTCGGTACATTTACAAAACGGATTCGGGATTTTTCGGAACGGTCCAACAAGAATGGATTTCGTGCCCACCCCTAGTGGAGGAGGAACGGGCCGATCGTACTGAAGAGCAGGAGGAGGCCCGTGAGTGAATAAGTGTTCGACACACGAAACGTCCGGTTTGGCATAAGGATTATGTTATTAATAAGTGACTCTATTTTATTTAATTATTGTATCGTAGATTTTGTTAGGTGAGTGTTTTATAAGCTCATTCGAGGGTTTCTTTACGGTTCTTTACCTCGTCGCTTTTCTTGAACCGTCAGGGTAGATAACGTAGTATCCTTAAGGTTAAGTTAGGGTTTTTCTATATATACTTGGTGTATCCCTTTCGTCTTGGGCATTGAAGCTATACAAGAAAACCCTAGTTTACATTCTCTTTTCTCAGAGTCTGAGGACGCTCGAAGTTCCCTATTCGATACGTATAATGTATCAATGTTACATCTCTATATTAAAGCAAAATGACTAGACACAAAATACATCTAACATCTATTTATTTGTCAAAAAATAATGCTCACAGAAGTTTACAAGAACTCAACTGCATATAGCATAGGGAGGGAATTTATGTGATTTGGCTCTTTTTAGTTTTTAATCGGGAGTCTACTAAAAAAATATTTTTTCACAATAAAATTTTAAAATGAAATATTTGCACTAAATAGCACTAAAACTTAAGTCATTTCCCTAAATAGCACTTAAATTGTTTTATTCTCTAAATAGCACTTAATAATGTCCATAATGTCCAGTGATAGCGAATATTTGCTTGAATAATGACTAATGCATAATGACTAAAAGTGCTACATTGGGAAGAAAAACACATGTAGTGCTATTTAGGAAAAGTCATTATGTTTTAGTGCTATTTAAGTAAATTCTTCTTTTAAAATCTCAAAGGTTTTGAAATTTAGCTAAAAAAAATGAAATTGTGAACATTTTAAAGAGACCAATGGAGTACCAGTCTAAAAACTAAAAATTTCAAAGACAAAAAATAGCAAAATAAACAAATTTTGGAAAATGAAAAGGTCGTTGTTAAAATCCGCCAAAAGAATTCCCATGACATTGAAATCCAATGTCATGGGATGACCCGGGGCGCTCCGGTGTCCTGTTCGTAAAATTGACGGTTCCTACCCCCTAACCCCTCTGGTAAACCCCCCACCCCGCCCTGACCCGAACACACCCCCTTACCCCCGTCAATTGCACCCACAAGTTGATTTTGACTTTGGAGTCAAAATCAACTTGTGGGGTGCAATTGATGGGGGTAGGGGGGTGTGTTCGGGTCAGGGCAGGGTGGGGGGTTTACCGGGGGGTTAGGGGGTAGGAATCGTCAATTTTACGAATGGGGCACCAGAGCGCCGCCAGGTCATCCTATTACATTGGATTCCAATGTCATTGGAACCTTGGTGTTATTTAAATGTGTTAAATATACACTAATGTTAAAATTATATTAATAGGTCTAGATTAAGCACATTCTAAAAATGAAGAAATCACCTTAAATATGAGGAAAATATACACAAAATATCATAACAAGAGTTAGGGGTGAGTATGGTACGGTATGGTACGGTATTTAGCTCGTACCGATACCGTACCAAATATTTCGGTTCGGTATGGGATTTTACTCCGTACCAATCCCGAAATATCGGTTCGGTATGATTCGGGATGGTTCGGTGTCGGTTTCGGTACAAATCGGGATGAAGATACATACATACTTTACACGTTAAAGTTTAACAATACCCTTTTATTTTTGAAAATTAAAAGTGAATTTAAATAAAAAACATGAAAAAATAAAAAAAATGAATATTTAAATGTAAGAGATGCGTATGAAAAACTTAGTTTATATTTCACAAACTAAAAAATGAATGACAACAAAGGAGTATTTTGAATCTTTGTGAATACTTTTATGCTCATACACAATAATTAAACTCAAATAAAAGTATAATTTACACATAATAAAACTTGAACCAATTTTTTTTAAAAAAATTATAATTTAGTGAAGGAATATATAAAAATATTACTCCGGGGTATTATTTTTATAATATTTTAATATATATGTTCGGTATGAGATTTTCGGTATGGGACGTCACCTCGTACCATTCCCGAATACCGTACTGACCATTCGGTTCGGTACGGTTCGGTTCCTTCTCAATACTTTTCGGTTCGGTATTTTTTGGTTTGGTATTCTCGGGTTTTTCGGGAAATTTCGGTATCAGTTCGGTACTTGCTCACCCCTAACAAGAGTTCATATTTCTATCTTTAAAATAAGAATTCGCACAATGGTAATGTGATACTGTACATAGAAAATTCATAATAATGTTTGGTAATGTATATGAGTATATGACCATGTTTGATATTGTATGTATTTCAACTTATATTTCTTGGAATAAAAATATAGAGTTTCTGTTTTAATATATTTTTATTGTTTTATTTTTACTTTAGTTTTGATCTCTAAAGAAGTGAAGATATAGCAGCTGATTTAACAATATCCAAATGAAAATCTTAAAACTAAAACTGGTCATGAGCAAATGAGCAACGAACAAATTTTATTGAGTATAGGAAAAGGTAATCCAAAAAAGAGGCGGGTTCTCATGACATTGGGAAGCAATGTCATGGGATGACCCGGGGTTGCTCCGATACCTCATTCGTAAAATTGACGATTCTTACCCTCT